AAAAAAAAAAAAAGAAAAGAAAATGTTCCCTACAGACATCAATAAGCCTGTTTGAATTTAGTAAACCTAGTTTGAGTGGGTATTTGAATGATGAAACTGCATTTCTTTACATATATTATCTAACATATTATAAATATTATACATGTATTGGTATATTATGAATAATATACCAATACATGTATTAGTATATTATAAATAATATTGGTATATTATTATACTTCAGCTCAATGAATGAGCTCTGATTTTACTGTATAATTAAGCAGAGTATGTAGAATAAAGCCATGAAATAAACTCCAATCACAAAAACACATGAAAAGTTTTGCACATTGGCAGCAGATATGATTTAATTGGAAATTCTTATTTATTCTATTTTCACATCATAAGTGCTTTTTAAAAAAATCTAACATGTCTTTTTAGTACCATACACTTAAAATGAACAAAATACAAGTAGAGTTTTCTAAAAAGTTGCTTTAAAAGTTAAATACCACTGTATGGGGACCATAGTGACACAATTTCATAAACTCAGAGAAATGCAGCCCTTAGAGGCAGTTCAAGCAAATGAGTGCGGGAAAGAGTGGTGGCTTTTGCCTGTGGCACTCTGCATATACTCCCTGAGATTGGAGTATGCTCATAGCCAGTGAAAAGACAAATAGTTTCAGAACAGTTTGTGAGCTTTCTTTAAAAGTGACCAGAAAATCCAGTAGTCAGAAAGCTACTTACTATGTGTTTCCATCTGCTCTGAGACAAGTGCTGAAAAGGTTGGCTGTCCTCTTTTTGTTTCTACCATCCGTATTCTATTACCCTACTATATACTTATTCATTGTACTCATAAGATTGTCACTGGTTCTGTAAAAATTGTTTAAAGAGTCTCTCATCACCACCCTCACCATTCCCATTATTGGGGAAAAACCTTAGAGATCCAAGATAAAGGAGGGGCTTGAAGTAGGAAGTTATCTGAGTGCAAACAGGGAAGTTAGCAGAGTCTCTGTGCACAATTTAGAAGAAGAAAAGTTAGGACAAACATTTGTCAAGCAAGGCTACCTACACATGGGACCAAGGAAGAGGACTGAAGCTATTCTTCCACCAACCTGTGTGTGTCAATCTGATTCCCCAGTCACACCCCCCCACATACAACTTTCATATTTATATACTTACTCAGTCCATCAAATGTAGATATAGATATACAGAGACATCAAAGCTGCTTACATTCAGAAAAATTCCCATATACACTTACACACACATACCAACACACAAAGACATATCTACACTAGAATTATGAAGTTCAAATATATATGAAAGAGTTTAAGAATGGTTGGGGGAGGTGTCAGCAAGTTGAGCTGGATGTGGTATAAAGTAGGTAAGTGAGACAGAGACCAAGAGCACATGAAAAGAATGCTCAGTAGAGCAGTTATAGACTGGACTGCTGGATTTCTCTTTGCTGAAGACAGAGGCTTCAAATTATTGTCTGTGTTGTGTACTGACCCACTTTTCAAAGGCAGGGATTAGGTGCATAAGGCTGTCTTCAGGGAACTAAGCCATCTCTGATTCCCTGTCTGTTTCTATGTATAAGACATTGTCCAGGCATCTTCTCTTCTTTCCCTTCCTCTCTGGAAGTGGGCTCTGGGCTCCATTTCTCTGGGTTATTCTTCATTTTCTGCTGCAAATACATCTGTGAGTACCAACAATCTTTATAAAATGTGATTTCAAGTGTTAATTCAGAAATCCTTAAATATTCACACTGCACTTGCATTTTTTTGATATTTCACCAAAATGAGACAGGCATTATGTGTGCAGACGCAGAGAGGGCAATAGCAGAGACAATGCTTCTACACAAAAAGATTTTTATCACTCAGTGTGAGGCAACCTGTGAGTAAGGAAGAAAGCCATAATCCAGTACTCTCTTTTCCTAAGAAAAGGCACTTAGAATAGATATTTCCAATTTATAGCAGCATAAATATCTAACAATTTAGAGTTTACTCACTTGAAATAATGTCCCAAAGTACCCACCACTCATATACACAATAAAATCACAAATAAGAAAAACCAAACTTTAGGAATAAGTTATTATTAACACTTGCTCCCCAAACAGGAGTTAGAAAACTATGTTGGTAACAGATCTAGAGAATAAAAACCCATGCAAACTTTTATTAACGATGAAAGAAATAAAGCCAATCATGACAGGCCTGGTTGAGCATGTGCCCTGGAGGTGAGCCTCCAGGTAAGTGTTCACTTCTTCTAAAGCAGTTAGTTTATTGAAAAAGTTCTCTCTTCTGGGGAAGGATGGGTCAGAAAGGGGCAGGGTCGGAGTGATCAGGCAATAACATTTCAGTTCCATGCACAATGAATGGAGGCAGGGACCAGCTGTCAAAAGGCTCCCAGAAGCCAGGAATCAAAGCTCTCATTGCATGGCACAGATGCTGTGGGGCAGGAACTCCTGCACGTAGGTGGCGGCTGCCTTGGAGAGGTAGGTCATGGTGCCAAATCTGCCACTGGGTGCACTGTCATACAGAAGAGTACAGATGCCAGATGCGGGATCCTTTGCCAACATGATATCATCTGCGCCAAGGGTTTTCTGTTTGGTTTTTAAGGGTAGAAGAACACAGGGGAAAGGAAAAATTACTAAGCCTACTAAGTAAATTCCTGATTAGTATAATTGAGAACCTCTTCCCCAGCACCAATTAGTTGGGCCCTAGGCTGTTCATTTGGGAAGAAATAGGATTATGAACAAAAGGATGAATATGAGTTTGTACACAGGTATTTTTCACTAGGCCCTAAATCATGCAAATCATTTAAAAATCATTAACTGTTTAGAATTTTCCCCATTACAATCAATGTCTAAAAGTTAAATATAATCATTAATCAATTGAGTCATACCTGTTAATAGACAAATGTTAACACAAAGCACCCTAGTAGAGCTTTAGTTTGACTTCTTCTAGAACTACTAATTTCAGCTTGCATTCTTTTATACTGCATTTGATCACAATTTCTTTCTAAGCCGACTTAATTCAAACAGACTGTAAGTTTTCTGAGGCTAGAGGTATATGCCTAAAAGGGATCACATTTTTAGATACATGGACTGACAGCAATCCAGAATATTTAAAATTAGAACTGTCCTAGAAAACCCTGAATACTTTTCTTTGGTATCTCCTCCCAGTGGCTAATAGAATGAAAACACCTATTATATGTTCTGAATATTTTCTTATTGCCATCAGTGCTTGTCCTTCACTTATGTGCTCCTACTGTTAATATAGGAAACATTTGGGATATTTTCAACAAACAGTTTGTATTTTTGAATGTGGAAAATTTCCTGGAAGAAGATTTACTAAGAAAAAATTTAAATGTAGGAATAAAAGTTTCACTTTCTTATTTTCCTATAGGTGAGTAGCAAAAGCAAAGCGAAACCAAAACCAAACCTCTTTTTCTTAATAGTTCAGAAAGGATATGCCATCCAATAGTTTTTTACTAAGTCCTTCAAGCTACAAAAGGCACTGTGATCAGAAATTTGAAATATGATGCTAATGCTATGCTTCAGAGCCTTTCAGGGAAAAGCATAAAATGTCCTGAGTTCCAGGCAACTTTACCCTCTATCACAAACCACATGGTGAAAGACAGAGGTCTTTTTGCAGCCTACTTCTTTTGTAAACAGAGCCCAGACTCACTCACTACAAAGGGGGCCCAGAAAAGAGCTATGAGGAAGAAGGCACAAGAAAGTGACCATGGCTCCTCAAAGACCTCTGAATATTATCAGGTTAGAGTAAAAACATTTCTCTATTGAGAAAACAACCAGTTTGCCTACCTGTTCTTGAAGAAACAAGTCATTGGCAATATGCACTATTTTTTCCACAGCAATGATGCTTCCAATGCTATGAATTTCAATATCTGCCAGCATGGTGAGGACAAGGATCGCTTCAACCAGCAGCTGGCGGTACTCTGGCTGAGGTACACGATTCAGGACAGACTCCACATGAACAGAGAATTTAATCTCACCTGGAGTCATCTGTGTTGGAGAAAAAGAAAAGCACTTCCTAAGAGTCCATCATCAAGGAGACATCAATCACCTGCTCTGAAGGGCAGTAAAAACACTGTAGCCATGAGCATTGATTCAGCCTCCTTCAAAATAATTGAGTTAGTAAACTGTTTCAATCTTTTTGGAAGGCAATCTGGCAATGCATAACAAGAGCCATAAGAGTGTCCATGCCCTCTAACCCATAATCCTGTTTCTGAGAGTTCATCCTCAGAGAGTAATTCAAAAGAGGAAGAAAGCTCCATATAGAAGCCTTAGTCACAAGTGTAAAACTAGAGGTAAACTAAACATGGGAATGGCATATCATGACATAGCAACTTCATGAGTTTTTACATGACTGTTTATTAAAATCTGAAGACTGTAAATAAAGGAAAAACAAGTTAAACTTAAAATTGTATGTATAATATATGACAATTAGAATTATGTAAAATATCCATATACTATTAGATTAAAAAGGGCATTAAGAAATGTAAAGTTATTTTAGGGTGAAGGGGATTGAGAAGTAAGTTTTGGTAAACTTGTATTGAGTTATACACTCTAGGGAAGCAATGTACGTCTTATCTTTGTTAGTTACTAGTTATGCAACCTTAGACAATCTCTAAATTTGTTTCCTTATCCATTAATTAGTAATGATAATCCCTTCTTTACCTATTTTACATAGTGGTGTTTATGATCAAATTTAAAAATGTGAAAATAATGTTTGAAATCTCTTAAAGGTACTATTCAGGTATGTGTTATTAATTATATGACCATTTCACTCTTGATTAAAGGTAGAGAAAAGACAAATGGGAGATATGGTGTTCTTTATTAGAAAAACGGCCTGTAGGCAATAGTGAAGCCCTGAAGCATAGCATTAGCTTTCTGTACCTGTCCCCCGAGATGCTATCTGCAACAACTGCAGCATTTTTGAGAACTTTCCACTATTGAATCTTACTACTTCAAGCATGCTAACACTAGCTTCTTTATTGGCTTTGTATAAAAGTTAGCTTTTATCACCTCTGAGTGATTTGGACAAAAAGGAAACTTTAAAAGGATCTGATAATCTATGTCTGAGGCTCACGTCCCATCCCTGGAGATTCTAATATACTAAATTGGAAGTGGGAACCCAGGTTACTGCAACATATAGTTGTAGCCAACAACCACTGGTTTATGCTCTAATGGTCTACAAACATTCTGCTAGAGAAAGGCAGAAATGAGAAGGATGGGGAATATGGGAAATCATGCATTTTTAGATTTCGATCCCTCTGCCTTCTCTAACCCCCACAATACTCACATAAGCCAGCCTAACTCAACCATTAAAAGAGGCTGTCCTTATATAAAGTAATCCATAATTATTCTATAATGTTCTCAATTTTTTTTAAAAAAATTCTCTTTTCTTCAAATGCATTTCATATTTAGTTGATTTATAAAAGCATAGGTCTGTCGCTTTGAAAAGTAAGTGATCACTGGGATACTTTAGCCAGAAAAGTTATCAGTCACAAATATATACAAGACAGAAACTCTTACCTCTCTAGTGGTAGAAGAAGGAAGAACAAATCCTTCCACAGAAAGTCCATGACACTGCAAAACAGAAAAAAACCCGTATCACCAAGGACAGACTAACATCAGGGAGACTATAAGGAGACACCGTGTTTCTAAGTGTGCTTCATGTGGTATATGCTGAGTAATCATAGGCCAGCAAGGGGCTCTGCAGTCCAAGTGCCCTTGCCATGGGGTTGTGATTCCTAACTGCCAAGATACAAAATTGGACTATAGGAGACCTAAGGTTCGTCCTCTCCTTAGGGGAATGGAATGGGTAGGGAAGCTCTACCTTTTGGGATAGACTAGTCCCAAATATTCAGAGACCATCTAGAAAGATATCATACTAGGTCTCAGGGCCATCACAAACAGGCCTTTGAAAAAATTTTTAGGCTGCAGGAAAAAATACATGCACTTATTTATTTACTTATATTTTAGTGAGCAAATTTTTTATTTACATACTATATCTAAAAGCAGATACATAACATTCTTATATAATTAATTTCCAAAATGTGTAAGAAATTACTATAAGTTGTTAATTAACCAAAATACATACTAAAATCAAGGGATTTTAGATAATTCATTTTGTTGTATTCTTAGTACAAATGGTACACACCTGATTTGAAACATATAAAAAGTATAAACTACAGCAGTCTGAATTGCAAGTATTAATTTCATGGCACTCCAACAACTATAAAATTTGTTTAACCTAACATGTATGTTTATCAAAAAATTCTATAAGAATTTTTCATCTGTGGATGTAGAGTTTGGATCACTTTTAAGAGATGGCAACTATGTATTCTGCCATGTTATAATTGATTAATAAAAAGGATGTATATAAAAAACCTTTACAGACTTTAAAGAGTATTCAAATAAATCAAATTTGTCATTCCTAGAACAGCAATGCTTTTAGAATTTTAAAGTCATTTATAGAACTGGCTATTGTTCCTTATTACATTATTCAACAAAGTTGAATGGTTATAGAGTTAATGGTTATAACTCTAAATATCTTTATAACGATGCTTTCAGAAATTTTTATTACTGTATATTACACACTGTATAGCAGAGATATTGGCTTATGAATGATTTAAAATAATGTATTTTCATTTAAACTTTAAGTGCTTTTCA